TCAAAGAGATTCCTCTTTAGTCAAGGGCAAATAAATGTCATCACTCACGGCCACAAAGTATGAAAACCCTGTAAACAGTCTGTGGGATTTTCTGCACTTGAGCACACATCATTCCTATTACGTACACATGCGTTCTCCTTCCATTCCCCGTGAGTTCCTCCGCACTGTGGGGAATTGTGAACTTGCGAGAGACTCGCTGTAAAACATTAAAAACCCAACCACAGCCCTAAATTCCAGGAGATGTTTGCTAACCCCATGCCTGTGTCTAAGAGTACTGTGGGGGCTCAGGGGGATGTGATGAATGGGCCGAAAGAGCATGATGAATGTGGTGTGTGTGTGTGTGTGTGTGTGTGTGTGTGTGAGAGGATGGCCATCAGGGTTTGGGTACGCATGAGGGTTAAGATGAAGCAGAGAGGAGAATCTCACACTGAACTGTGAGTGGGAAAAAGAGAGAATGTAGCTGAGTGATGGAAAAAGAGGAGAGACAAGTGTGTGAGAAAACAAAAAACTGGAGAAACAGTCCTCAGGAAAAAGCTTATAATTTTAATTTAGGATGGCAATCAATTTCAAATTTTGATTGAATTAGGATGATGAATAATTAATTTAATTAATCACAGTTAATCACATATATGCAAAAAAAGACCTCAAATTAAGATAATTCAGATTCCATTTTTGAAAAGACAAAAAATGTAAATACTGGTTATTGCTTCGTGTAAACATGATAGAATGGCTTCATTCAAATATTAGTTTTTCACAATCCAGTTAGTTCCCAAATTATAAAACCAAGCCTCATCCTTTTTTTCTTACAGTATCCTGTTTCAAATTTTGTCAGATCATGGTAGTAAAATGAGTTGCAAATACAGTTTGGTGTTTTACATTAGAACATTTGCCAAATATTATTTATTGAATTCATAGATTTTATTCATAGTGACTGTGTGCTATGTAGAGAGGTTTTGCTGTAGTTTGATCTATAATATATGATCTTTTATTCACTATGAAGACTAGATTAATGGCTGCTAAAAATCAGCTTTGCCATCACAGAAATAAATTACAATTTAAAAAATATTCAAATGAAAATTGTAAATTGTAATAATATTTCACAGTTGTGATGTTTTTCCTATATTTTAAATCAAATAAATGCAGCCTTGGTGAACATAAGAAACTGCTTTCAAAAACATTAACAAATCTTAACGACCCCAAACTTTTAATCTGTATTGTATAGTATATATAATATGATAGAAAATGATATTGAGTGTCCTGAACAGTTTAGGAAGGGGAATTGGGTTACACAGCTGCTCTTTTTGTGAAATCCCTGCTAGTTACTCTGGGTCACAACCTCTATTTTCTGTTACTGTCCAGATAAGGTAAAAACTGCTGGGTTTTGTCTGCTTTATAGCCCCAGTTAACCTCTAACATTACTGTGCTCTCCACTTATGAACTTTTATATGCAATACACATTCTGTAGTTGTCTGTTCATGTTCATGTTGTATAAACCTTCCAGTTATATCTGTCTTTTCTCATTCTGCAACCTCAGCTTTGTTTTATTAGGCCTTTACATTTTATTTAATATTTTATTATGTATACTCTATTCCAGAATATTCTGTAATCTTGGATCTACGATTGTAGTTTAACTTCCAACCATTCACTCACACATATCGCAGGAGGCTTCAAATGATGTTCCTGTAGGGTTGGCTGCTGCTGCAGCTGCTCGTTTGGCAGGAAGTCACAGTTCTTTATGTAGCGTGGCAGGAGGGTGCTTTTTAAGCTTGTTGTAAGTTGGCAGTATGCAATAATAAATTCACCAGTACTGCAGAACATCTTTGAAGGGTCGCCTAAGATGCATGCTTCTAAGTTATATAGACAGCAGGTCAACAGGGGTGGGTTTGTCTTACGTAAACCCAGCAGATTTGGCACGTCACACTGGTTAGCACATGGAAAGTAAAGCTGGAAACTCTCTTTCTTTCTGTAAATGCAAACTATCAGTCAAACCTTTGGACACACCTACTGTTTTTTTATTATGACTATTTTCCACAATTTATAATAATAGTAAAGTCATCAAAAATATGAACAAACACAAATGGTAGTATGGGAATGTTGTGACCAGAAATGATAGAAAGATAGATAGAGGGAGGGAGGGACGGATGGATGGACGGACGGACGGATAGATAGATAGATAGATAGATGGATGGAGGGAGGGAGGGAGGGAGGGAGGGACGGACGGACAGATAGATAGATAGATAGATAGATAGATAGATAGATAGAGGGAGGGACGGACGGACGGACAGATAGATAGATAGATGAGTGGACCGACGAATGGATAGATAGATAGATAGATAGATAGATAGGAGCTGGAGACGACTAGCCATGTTTACAGTTTTCACAGATGGGGTTTAGACAGTGTCAGGTTAAGTGAGATAAATGACTAAGTTCCTCTGTTGCTCCACATGGGAAAAGCAACAGCAATGTAGAAATGCTCAAAGTCTGTCACTTCCCACTCAGCCACTGGAGAAAGCTATTTTATCATAGTTATCCCTTCAACATCCATACGTTTTCTACATCTGGAGTATAACGTTTTCTGAAAACGTTCACACAGACGTTTTCTCTATCAACGTCAACACTGATGTCAGATTGTGCGCGTGATCTTTCAGGTAGGAAACACTGCCGCCGTGTGGTGAAACTTCAAATGATACTATTTCTAATGCAAATTGTGGAAATGCCAATAGGCCCTTCTGAGTTGCCGTAACAGTACAGAAGCGAGAACGCTAAATATGAAATGAGTGTGCTAACTGCTAATAGTTTAAAATTACATTCTTCAGTTTTTTTTTTCAGACAGACCCAACACTATGACCCAAGTCTGAATACAACAGCAAAAAAACCCAAATCCTCATACAATGACACCCTTCAAATTATTTCTATGCTCCTGTTTGAAGGATAAAGTTGTTTACAATTTACGAATATAGCCTACATTTATTTATAAGGCTTTTGGCTAATAAATATATAGGTTTTATGTTTACAAATCTACCCTCTTCCTATTTTTCATTCACATTCATTATTGATGAAGAACAACATACAAACAAAAACCATCCATAGTACAAAAATGTATAATTTAATTAATTAATTATTATTTTCATTATTATATTCACGAAATAAAAAAATTAGTGAAATAAAAGATTAAATTAAATGACAACACTTACAGTTCCTACTCTTCAGTTCAATTCAACTTTTTATCAAATAAAATATTCGATTTTTTTTATTATTAATATATTTAAAAGTCTAAATAATCAAACTTTCGCAAAATAAATAAAAAAATATATTAAAACATTTTTTTAGATTTGCTAATTTTGCTTTTATATAGTATTTACTAAATACAATCAAGGTTTAAATTAAATATTTATTTAGGTCTAGGCTAAAAATCAATCGTGATTTTGCTTTTTTTATGCTCAAGAACAAAATACAAACTAGACAATGATAGTACATAAAATGTATATTTTTAAATATAATTAATCATTTTTATTATTATATTTTTCGATAAGGTATAGAAATAAGAGAAAAATAAAATACATTTTCGTATTAATATATTAATATATGGGACGCAATAAACAAGGCCAAATCAGTTATCAAATTGTTAAAATATTACAAAATGTATTTTATGATATGCAATTTAATAAGCAAAACGATATTCATTGCACAAAGCGGAAGTTTCATTGTGAAGTCACGTCTACGTATTCCACGTCACGGAAGTCACAGAGATGGTGATCCATCCATTATCTGAAGCCGAGCTGAGAACTTGCGTTATCGCTCGTGTAATGTTGTGGTACTTTACAGGATACAGACTCAGGACCGTCTCGGTCTAAAAGAGGGCCGAAAACTCGAAAGCGGAGGCGCTGAGTTGGTGGGCGAGCCTGCCTGTCGTTTTGCAGGCTAGCTCTCTAGTTTAGCAGCCAGCTGCCTTGGCGACGAGCTGAGTAATAATCTCAAGACAGCCATCGAGGCAGCTCGCAGTTATTTCATTTTACTGTCGCCTTGTATTGCGTAGCCATGGCAACTCGGCGACTGACCGATGCCTTCTTATTAATGCGGAACAATGCAATCCAAAACCGGCAGATTTTGGCTGAGCAAGTGAGTACATACGACCCCCGTCGTACTCTGAATACACGTAGCAATGCTGCGGTGAGTCTAACGTTCATTGTCTGAATTGTTTGTTTTCGCGCGTGTGTGATTCTGAGCTAGCTAGACAACAGCCCTAGCTAGTGGTGTTTGTTGATGTCAATCGGCCCAGTCGGTTGTCCAACAAACCTCTACTGTTTTGTTTGCCGTGTGAGGAGTTGGCAGGTCTGTGCAAACCGGCTAACTGTTCATCAAACACTTCTCGTATAGTCGCATTTTGATTTACCTCAACACACGGGAATGGCAATGAAATTACTAAATTACAAGGTTGGTGGTCGTGCTAGTTTTGCTAACGTTTAGATCATGAATTTATCAGTGAGGGACGTTTTGATGCCAGGGACCTTAAAATATGATGGGCCCCTTTCTGAAATATGAAAGCAGCTGTATATTTTCGTTTATGAAGATCCATTTGTACTGTGTGTGGAACAAAATTAAGTAGGCCTATTATATTAAAAAAGAACTTAATTGGCTTTTTTTATTGGCAATGTGTCTAAAATAAGTGATGAAAATATAAGCTATAATAATATTAGCTATGAAAATAATAGCTGTTAGGTGTGTAAACTTGAAAAGAAACATTTACACATTTTTGTAATTGTGTTTTATTTCAAATATGAATGTCAGTATAATAAAACAAAGATTATACGTAGTGATTAATCCATGAATAATAACTTTAGGTCTTTAGAAAACAAAATGAAACTGTAATGTCAAAATCAGTATACACTACTGTTCAAGAGTTTGAGTTTGGGGTTGTTTTTTTTATTATTATTTTTAAGTGTCTTATGTTCACCAAGGCTGCATTTATTTGATAAAAAATACAGTAAAACAGGAATATTGTGAAATACTATTTCAATTTAAAATAACAGCTTTATTACTACAGTGTCGCATGATCTTCCAGAAACTATTATATTTTGTTTTTGTTTTTCATTAAAAAAAAAAAGATTTTCATATGCTGGTTTGCTGCTCAAGAAACATTTCTTAACATTACCTGAAAGTTTTGTGGAAACACTGATTTTGCAGGATTCTTTGATGAATGCAGAGTTCAAAAGAACAACATTTATTTGAAATAGAAATATTTTGTAAGTCTTTACTGTCGCTTTTGATCAATTTAATGTATCCTTGCTTAATAAAATTATTCATTTATTTTTAAGAAATTGTTCTTACCCCAGACCTTGAACGGTAGTGTAATTTGATCATACAAAAATAATTTAAATTAAATATTTATAAATTTGGGATATTTTGGATTGGTTAACCAAGTTTATGGAACCAGGTTTAAAATCATAATTTATGCCTTTATGTATCACTTTTCATTAAATGCCTCTAAGCTGTTGTAATACCTTATTTTTATGCATTTTACAAACATAACTGTAGTGTGGTGTTTTATCGCTACATTTCTAAAATAGTTGTGTGAAACTCTTTGATTCTCTACATACTTTGCTCTAGTTATGTTTTAACATTTTAAAATGAGACTCCAGACGAAGGCAGTATGTTTTGTCTCCCAGTCTTCCATAGATCTTTCCTACAGATAAGCTATGCATCACATTTTTCTTTCTCTTTGATGCTGGTGGGCGGCCTGCTATCCAGCATGCTTTTAAATATTCCAGTATCTTTATAGGGTATTGATTGGGTCCTGACAGACAGATTTTGTATGTCTGTCAGTGCAGTATTTGAAGTTAGCACTGTGTTACTAGCACGGACGTCATTCTGATCCTATATCAATCATATATCATGCCTGCTTGTGTTTTGTCTGGTGTAGTGGCTCCATTCTTTACCATCTGCTTGCATGTTTATTTTTCCCCTCTTTGTACTACTTGTGGTCTAGCTAAGCACTTCTTGCTCTGCCTTGCAAAATCCTGACAGAATCTTCTGCTGTGCATTGCTCAGATCTAAAGTAATCATGCCAGTGTGTTGCTTTGGGTTAAAAATAGGATTTATCTTCCAGCTTAATCTTTTATTGCATTTTATAAATTCAGTAACATCACAGAGTGCTTTTTTCCAAACCTAATATCTTATTTAGTGAATTTATGAATCAGTAGCACAATCATGCAGTAGGATTAAGATGTTGGAGTTATTGGGCTGGAATGGACAAAATCTTAGGTATATGCACATGTGTATTTTCTATCTATGTATTTCTGCCTTCTACATTAGCATATATATATATGAATTAATCTTCAGTTAAGAACACTTTGCATTTATTGGTTTTTGTTCCTGATTTGTCCAGTTCTGTCCAAGTCCTGCTGTCAGTGTTTTTGATGCTGATCTCTGCTTTTTGTCTTGGGCTCCTCTGCTCTCACTCCTCATGTTCCTCCGCTTCTCTTCTATCTCTCCTCTCATTGGATGGGACATCGCTGGGCTCTTCCTATCACATTAGGAGTTTGATGAGGTAACCTTGATGTTTTAGCATTCCTTTGCTAAGCTCCGCCCCCTTGGTTACTGTTGCTAGCTCAGATGAGCTTTAAAGAATGTCTCGTTGGAATGAATTAATGTTAATTTACCACCAATGAAAACATAGTTATGTGTGTTCATTTAGGAATGAGTGCAACACATATTTTTAGTCACAGCATGGACTTTTTCAAGATTTGACAGTGTGTATCCTTTCTTCCTGATTACAGTTTTCTGTACAATTGCTTTCAAAACCATAAAAAACACACCTTCCATAGACTTGCATTAAAAAAGAGCTTGTCTGATAAAATGATGGAACAATAGAAGGATAAAGTAGGGTTGGTCTGCCATTTTTAAGGCGGGGCTTAGTAAAAGGTCAGTTTGTGCAAAATTTGAACACTGTTGTTTTTTCATAAAATATTTTATCCAATAATTCTTTCAGCTACCAATAATAATCTCTCATACAGCTACATTTACTGTATTTGAATTAATTTTACAGATTTTATCAACAAAAATGTGATGTTTGCCCTCATTTCTTTCTCTGTCTGTTAGTTGGCTGATGACCGTATGGCCCTGGTGTCAGGCATCAGTTTGGATCCAGAGGCTGCTATCGGTGTCACGAAGAGACTCCCGCCTAAATGGGTGGAGGGAGTGGATGAGGTAATTATTAGATGTTTGTTTGAAGTGATCAGTGACATTTAAAGGCATGTTCCAGTTTCAAAACAAGTTAAGCTCTACTAGCAGCATCTGTGGCATGCTATGAATTACCAGAGTAATCATTTAGACTCACCCCTTAGTTTGTTCAAACAAACAAAAAACACGTACAGTAACACATTTAAAATATTTTAAAAAATAATTCAAAAGTGACATTTAATGAACTGGACAAGACATTTATTATATTACAAAAGATTTCTGCTTCAAATAAATGCTGTTCTTTTGAACTATTTTTATTTTTTTTTTTATCAAAGAATCCTGAAAAAATGTGTAGTAAAATGTTTCTTAAGAAGCAAAGCAGCATATTAGTATAATTTCTGAAGCAGCGGTTCCCAATCCCAGTCCTTGCCCCCTTATCAGTTATTTAAAATGGTCGTTTATTTTTTTCCACAATATTACCGTTTTTACTGTAAATGCAGCCTTACTGAACATAAAATACTTTTTCCCAAAACATTAAAAATTCTTACCAACTTTTAAATGTTAGTGTATATTAATTCTTTCTTGCATAAAAAATGGTCTTAACAATGTTATGTTTAATGTTAATCGGCAGTATTTATTTTGAACCTAGATTTAGATATTTGACATTGGCATACATAGTCTTCGCTCAAATAAGACCTCTATCCATAGTCAACAGAGTGAACAGTGAAGTCCTTGTTCCCGCAGATTCAGTATGAAATCACACGCATTAGTCAGAAGATGAAGGAACTGGCCAATCTGCACGACAAACACATGAACCGGCCCACGCTGGATGACAGCAGTGAAGAGGAGCACGCCATTGAGATAACTACACAGGAAATTACACAGGTATAATAACACACGCAGAAATCCTGTTTTATTACAGTGCCATCTGTTATAACTAAAGAGGTTGAAGTGGACCGACAGAAAAACTACAGCAATTAATCAAAACACACATCATAAAACTGAACAATTTTCAGCTGTTGTAGTGAGTCTGCATGTGTGTGTAGATGTTTCACAGGTGCCAGCGGGCCGTGACGGGGATCCAGACTCAGAGCCGTCATTGTACAGAGCAAGAAAACAGGCTGTTGACCAATGTGGTCTCCTCACTGGCCCAGAGCCTTCAAGAATTGTCAATCAACTTCAGACACACACAGTCAAGCTACCTGAAACGTAAGTGTATGCAAACACAAGATTTATGTTAATCAATATAAGAACATTAGCTTTTACCTCATGCTGTGTACTTTTGACAAATCTTTGATACATCTTACTTTCGTTTATAGGTATGAAAAATCGTGAAGAAAGATCCAAGCACTTTTTTGACTCCGGTCCTCTTGTGGAGGAAGAAGAAGATATTGCGCTATATGAAAGAGTGAGACCGTTTTACAAATACTCATGTTTTTAGTATATATGCTACATACATGTTTCCATATTGATGACTATATCGGTGTCAACCAGTCGCTTTTGCTTTAAATTACTGACATTGTTGGAAGCACATTTACAATGAATTTGTCATATTTTGATGCTTAATGTCCCTTGAAGCATGTAAATTCTAAATTCTAGACCTTAAGAGTGAACGCTGTAGTCATGTGCCGTAGAGCCATGCACGGGCCTCAAATTTAGGCCCTAGCCCGAGACGCTCAGGCCCTAGCCCGGCCCGTGTCCGACAAGCTTATCAGAATTACCGACCCGAGCGTGTCTTTTTTTTCCCCTTCTCCCAAAACAGTTTATACTACTGTTTCAGCTATTAAAATAGTTCAGTTTTGTATGTAATGGCAAAGTGATTATATTTCGTTTCAATTTTTTATGAAGTTAATTTTAAAAACTTTTGGAGCATTTTTTGTTCATTAAATATAAGTTTTTGTTTTTTTAAAGTAACGACCAAGCGGCCAGCGGCAGACAGTGAGCCTATGTTTGATCAATTTAGCCTTCTCAAATCATCACGACTTGCCTAAAATAAAATCTATAGATATAAAACAGTTCAAGCATATAACAATGTTTAAACGTTAAACCTAGATAAATGTGCGCTATATCCAATAGTTTGTGCGCAGAGTGGAAGCTAAAGCGCGCTTTGCAGGACATGGAGGCGCCAGTGCGATCACTTGCATTTTTTTCAGTGGATACGCCGTCATTTTTGCTCATGAAGGTAAGAGCAGCAATACATAATTCGTAGCTGTAAAGGGTCTACTTTTATTTGTGTGCACTCACAATATCAACAAAACGTTGTGCTTTTATAAAATAAAGAAAACAAACATGATGCGCTTTCTGCCGTCTCATCTTGAACAGGAGCGCTTCACAAAAATGAACCAAAACTCAGCGAATACATGTCTCACAGACATGATAAATATATCTATAGAAAGCTTTAAATGACTACTTAACGAAATAAAACAAATCAAAAACAAAAACTCTTTCATTATAATCATAATCCGTAAAGATGCACTTCTCTCTAAAGGCGAGAAGGAGAAAGGAGATGGCAAGTCAGGATCGACAACTTCATCCGCCCGCGTCCGAACTATGACGTGAAAATTGGCCCGAAGCCCGGCCCGAGGGGCGTAAAAAAGTCGGGGCCCATCGGGCCCGGGCTGAAATGCAGGGCTCTAATGTGCCGGTATTCGGTAATGCGATATATCACGGTAATGAATATGCACGATATTGTTATCGTGAGCACTTCTAAATACCGTGAATAATTATATATTACAAATTATTCAAAATTTTGAATGCATTTTAAGAATACTTTTCCCATCAACTGGTCAAAATGCACAACACCGCTGTATGCTGCGTGAAA